ATGATGATGATGATGATGATGATGATGATGATGATGATGATGATGATGATGATGATGATGATGATGATGGAAATGCTGCTGAATGCAAAGTTTCATCTCCCACTAGTGAGCAGCAACATGAGTAGTATTGGTCATGACCAGTTTTAGAGTGCTTTCTTCACTTTTTCTCACCCTTTAAGCCGAATCCGCGTTTTTCTTACCCAGTTTAGTTACGACTCCCACCTGTGTACGGTTGTGGCGAGTGGCCCCTCGGCTTCCTGTCAATTCCTTGGTACAGTAAAGCCCTATAGCAGAGGCATGAAACCCACCATTCCGACCATATACTACCTATACAGTAATGAGTAGTCTAATTAACTTAACGAAAAAATATGCTCAACATTTATCGCATTCACGCTGGTCGTGCAACACCAATTGCGCCATTTCACCTTTCATGCATCTGGTTAAGTTAGCAAGTTTCAATTGTGGCCAGGTCTGTCCTTCTGTACATCTGTACGGCTGTCAGTCTGTCTGTCTGGCCTCCTTAACCTGCCGGAACATGATAATCGAACACGAACGAAGCTTTTAACAGCCAGAGCCATCCTCGGACGGGATAACTCAGCCACCGAGAGGGGGCTCAACAGGCGTTTTCGATTAACATCTTTGCCCCCACACTGCGCTCTGTTGACAGATACCATCTTTTCTGTATGTATCTCTCTGTGTGTGTGTGTATATGTGTGTGTATGTGTATGGGCAATTAGGCCAGCGCTAAGCCGACTTTGGCCGGCAACACCTAAACACTTGTTTCCTGCTCCCTGTATGAAAAGATATGTGAAAAGGTAGTATAAAGCTGATGCGATAATCAATAGCTGCTATCTTAGGCGCTATTGTAAATCAATATCAGCGAGCTGTGAGGATGAGCAGGTAAGGATTACCTTTGGAAGGGTGAAGATGAGTTTGTAGATCAATTAGCTTTCGCGGACAAAGTGAACAGTACGTATCCATTCGATAAGGCCTGATTTTCTCCACCCAACGATTACGTAAATGTTGCCGGCACATAGACACGCATACACACAAAACACACACACACACATGGCTACAAAGAAAGACGGTTGTAGAGAGGTTTGTGTGGGTACGAGGAGAGGTTGGCTTGTCCACAATGAAGACGAGGGACTGAAAAATGTCACAAGCGTTGAGAGGAAAAGCTATTCAGCTAATAATTATTGTACGTAAATACAAACGTAAAACTGCATTTCCTCACCAAACGAGGCTACATCTTCTATCCGCGTTTGTCTTGCATCGGGCCGTTATGATGTGCGGACAAAGGCAATCGAAATCTTTGGACGATTTGCAGCATCATACAAACGATGCTGTGCGCCAATCTGTCACCAAGACGATGACGACAGACAGAGGAGAGACAACACATTTGGCGACGGTCAGACGCCGTGAGGATACTGAGACACACATCAACCTTTCCGAGCGGACTCAAGTGGGTTGTGCCACCGAAACAGCAATTCAGAGACGTTGTTTTTTTTGATGGGATTGAGCTCAGGTACCGGATGACAAAAAAAAAGGAAATTTGGTGCAAAATAAGCCTTTCTAAATGTTCACTGCCTCTCTTCAAGATGACGGTCTATTCTGTTAGAATGTACTATAAGCAGATGGCAGTTAAAAGG